GATGGATTTCATTTTACGTATTCAAATCATGTTTCGACTGTTGCGTGCATGTGATTCCAATTTTTATTTAGCCATTATCTAATTGGCATAACCACAATTTTAACACCATTCTAATTGAAATGTATTCTTTGTCCGTTGCCTTTCCACAGAAACTGCAAAAACACTGTATTTTATTCCGGGCAAGTCGGCATGGCATTGAACGTTTGGAGATATTGGACAAGGAGGATGACAAAAATCCGAAGATTGTCACATTGGAAAATTGTGTAAAAATCACACAAGAGCCAACCAATCAAATCAATATCGTTAAAAAGACAAACGAAACATGCACACTGTTCGCTCTCAACGAGGCAGATCTGAAGCAATGGATTGAAGCGCTGCAAAGTGTTGCGTTCAATGACAAAACAAATCTACTGTCTCGCACTAATTCGGTGAGGGAAGAGGAAAATGATCTCTACTGTACCTCGTACTCGGATGGCATATTCACCGTAAATTTACAAACGGCCGATTCAGCCAAGCTCAAATATACCATCGAGAAAAATTTACATATAGAACCTAATAAACCCATACCGACCACATTCACACTACAACTAACGGCGACGGAAATTCAATTGAAATTTCTTGATATGAACGGAGTGATTTTGGTCACACAGTGGCCGTATCGATACATTCGAAAGTATGGATATCGTGATGGTAAATTCACGTTTGAAGCGGGACGAAAATGTGATACGGGCGAAGGTGAATTCAAGTTTCAGCACACAAATCCACAAGAAGTGTTCCGGTGCATGGCAGCCAAAATGAAATCAATGAAAAAACTGATCAACGGCGATACGATTGGCAGTTTAGACTGTGGCGAACATCAATTTAATGCGGCTCTATCGATGGAGGCTGGCTCACGTTCACCATTGCCACCGTCACCAAATCAAAACTATTCGGATAGCACACAGAGTCAAAATAGTCATTTGTTGCACGGATTTTTATCATCGACCGATTCATTGAATAATATTTCCATTAACACATCGACCACATCAAGCATACCGCCGGCCAATATGAAAATAACACCATTGAAACCGCCACGAAAATCCATTCCGGGCACGGAAAATAATGGCAAACCCGTTCCACCGAAGCCATCGCCAAAATCAAAGTATCAGGACTATGAGCCCGTTTCATTGGCCCAAACTGGCACAAATGAACTATCAAAACCAACGTCGATTGTATTGAAATCCTCACCGCCGCCACCGTTGCCCACATCTCCCATTCCGAGTAACGGCAATTTATCTCATTCGACCATAAAATCACCCGTTCACTCGCCCGTCGTTGATCAACCACCACGAATACCGGCCCGCTA